CATGGCCATCATTTGTATCTAGATGATGACTGAATCTAAGGAATGAATATCATTGCCTGGGAGGGAAGAAAGGGAACTGAAGTTGTTCTGGAACCAATCCATTGGACAGAGCTACAAAGGAGACAAAGAGTGAAAAGCAAGAGAGAATGGAAGATAGACACAGCATCTAGAGGGGATAAGGATGGATTGTTTCATGAGAAAGGAATGATCAACAATCAGAAGTTTCTGAAAGAAATTTCTGGGGGATGGAGATCATTGTCGGTCTAAGAGACATTTGCTTTGGTGGAATGATGGGGGAAAGAAGCCGTATGTGCATGGGTGGAAGGAGTGAGTTTAAGGCAAGGAAATGGACACAAAAAGGAAAGTCAACTCTTGGCTGGTAACTACAAGAAGGCCAAGTAGTACATGTTTGTAAGATAGAAGAGAACTATGGGAAGAATACTGTTGAGATGAGGGAAGGAAGGAGGCAGGGGAGAGAGAGAGAGAGAGAAGGAGAGGGAGAATGTGTGAACAATAATGTAAAGGCCATTGATAAGGCATGAATGATGGGATCCAAAGTGCAGGTGGAAGCACTGTCTTCAGAGAGAAGGAAAGTTGTGTCAATGATACAACATGGAGAGGATGCAGGCTGATGTTTGCTACAGTTTGATGGCATGGAGTTCACAAAGTGTAATGGTGGTAACTTTGATTTTTCTCTGTGCAATAGGTGGTGAGAACATTTCTCAGAAAGAGGGAGGATACAGAAGACTCAGTGGTAGAACCAGTGGTTATGGAGGTTGGGTGGACGAGGTAATGAGAGAAAATGCAGGCAACAAAGTAGGCTCCTTTAAATTGGAAGGTAGACTCAAGGGATTTAAATAGCAGATGAAAGAAGTGAGAAAACATAGGTAAAAGGAGTTTGTAAGTCTAAACCAGTAAGCGTTGGTTCTCAGTAATCATTGTCATGAGTTATCCCATGTCATTACCGCTTTTCCTTCCCAGTTTTGCAGTGGGTAGAGGATACCAAAAATATCAGGTAGCCTTGTTAAGAAAGTCTAAAATACCAGCTAGTACATTTCTGTTTAGTGCATAAATAAGTACATAATCTTCCCCCAGTTTTGCATTTTTGAGGGGTGCAGCTGAGTGAATGTGAGATAAAGGGAGGTGTAGAGAAAAAGGATCAGATAATGTGGCTCTGAGTAGAATGTGCATCACCACTTCAGATCATTGATTCTTGCTTATTGAGTTAACCATGCACGGCACACAGCAGGTGTTCAATAAGAGTGTTGATACATGAGTCAACTTGGGCACAGTTCCCTAAGGAGTGAGAGCAAAATAAATTGTTAAACAAACATTTAAACTGAGTCCATGGCCAATGGTTAATGAGTCAAGGAGTAAACTAAGTGTGTGACACCCTAGGACATCACCTGCTTTACATCCAGTTGTTCAGTGTGATAGGCATGTGCTGCCCAAGGAGATCAGTTACCGAAGTGCTCCGGGGGCAATCCATGATCTTACCCCACTGTGTCTGCAGGCATCAGACATGTCCCCACTGGATAGCTTATATTTCTCAGACTCAGCTTTGGTTTTCTTGCTCCCTTTAAACCACTTCCTCCATTGCTCCCGGACCTGCAAAGGCAAAACCCGCTCTGGGTCAGCTCACTGACAGGACTGAGGATAGAAAGAGTCCTCAGTGGGAATCAGACCATGGTACCTGCTGGCTGAGGAGGCAGTACACCAGGAAGATGAAGACGCCCTGCAGGCTGTTGATGATGGTGAAGAGGTAGGCCATGACGTGGGCAGCTGGTCCCACCTGCAGGATTCCCAGACACCACGTGCAGCCCAAGATGAAGAGCTGAGCTGTTGCTTTAAATGTCAGCATCCTGGGTAGGAGGATAAAGGAAATTCACGATGTGCCCAGAGCAACACAGTCAAGCCAAACTCATCTTCACCCCATGGACGCTCCTTCCTTCCCCTGTTGGCAATGAGTTCTCAGACTGAGTTGTGATCAGCTTTGGTCTTTACTGTTAATGATTCTCCACAGTAGAAATGTCATTCAGGTCCAGAATGGCATCTTAATTTGGACTGAAGAGGGTAATGACACTTCATAATGTAAGTTGCAGAAATTTTATGATGCTCCCTAATTTCGTTCAACCAACATTACTAAAGAGGTACCATGTATCATTCCCTGTGCTGGGGTCCAGGTATTAAAAATAACAAAGGTGAGATTTCTATTGTCATAAAGCTCACCGTCCATTCAATTGACTAATACAACTGAACAGAAACATGCAAAATTTGGAAAGGATGATAGAAACATGAAAGAAATAGCACCAAATATGCACAAGGCTTCCTGGAGCAAAGGATGCCCAAGCCTCCTAGAAGACTGGACATTCACTAGGATTTATTTCCCCAGAGACAGGAACGGAAGAGGGGTGAGAAAGAGCCTAAATTGAGGGTAGGGTGTGAACATGTACTGGATTGTGGGAGCGGTCACAGATTTTTCTAAGTACTTCACGGGAACATAATTGTTCTTTGTGTTTTTGCCATGAGACTGCTGACGAAAGTCCAAAGAATATTTATCAACTAATGTCAATTCTTCCAGTTGCTGAGGGAGTCACAAGCTGGGATGAGAAATGGACACAGCATACCACTGAATCAGAACTGGCTGCCATAGGACAGCTGCCTCTGTTTTACTCCAGGTCCCCTCAGAAGACCCTGAGAAGGGACATGGGGAAATGCTCAGGCACACAGCTTTGCTCTCGGGACCACACATCTGCAGACTTGTCAGCCTCTTCTCCATCTTACCTTGTGTTCTGGAGGGTGGACACATCACTGTTGAGGGAAGAGAGCTTGCTTTTCAAAATCCAGAGAGTCATCAGAAAGAGAGCTAAATTGACCTTCAGGAAACCACAAAATGTTTATTGAATAAAAGTTCAATCCATTATCCAGCCTGTCCAACATCAATTCCATACTGAAGTAGTTTCCATGTCTAGTAATAGTGTTTGAGTGTGTAGTTTTAGGAACAGTCTTAGAAAACCAACCCAAACCCATAACAGCCCGGAAACATTCCTGCTCCTGCCCCCCTCCCCCAACCCTGCTTATAATTCTGCTCTTCTGATGACCCTCAGATGAGCGTTAAGGACGCTTTGATTTCATCACTCACAGAGAAGATGGCACAGACTGGTCCAAGGAAACCCCATTTAAATCCCTTTTCTGAGTGGAGCCAGCAGCTGAGCAAGGGAGAGAATGAAAAATAGCCCTTAGGGAACTTGAACAATTATGTTAATTCATTCATTCATCAACAAATATTGAGTGTCTCTTCTGTCACAGGGTCTGTGGTTGGCTCTGAAGATACAGTGGTGAAGAGAGTAAACACAGTCTTAAGCCCCACAAATCTCACGTCATTACGAGACACAACTGGAAACACAGTGACGGCAAAAAAAAAGGGAGGGCAGAGGCCATGAGAATGTATCCTCGAATGGCATGCTTAGTTTTGATTAGAGAAGATTCCCAAAGGAAATTATATTTTAGCTGAGATATGAACAATGTGTGCATGTTACTGAGACAAACAGTGTTGAAGCAGGGAAGATGTCTGTAAATGTGTTAGTTTTTGAGAGTCCTGTGAACCTAAAAGAGTCTTCAAGGACTTTTCTTGCACTATTCAGTTTAATTTCCTTTTTAACAGCAGCAAAACCCCTCCACTGAGTTTTTGGGGTTTGTTTTTAATTTTATGGATTTACTGAGATACACATCACATACCAAGAAATTCACCCATTAAAATTGTACAGTTCAGCAATCTTTAGTATATTCAGAGAGCTGTGCAACCATCACCAAAATCTAACTTTAAAACATTTTCACCTCTTCAGAAAGAAACTTCTTTTAGATTAGCAGTCACTCCTCATTCCTATTTCCATACACCTAACCCCCAGCCTTAGCCCCAGGACACCGTTAATCTACTTTCTGTCTCTATGGATTTGCCTATTCTGGATATTTCACATAAATGAAATCATACAATATGTGGTCTTCTGTGACTGGATTCTTTCACTTAACATAATGTTTTTAAGGTTCATCCATGTTGTAGCATGTCGTTACAGCTAAAAAAATATTTTTAATGGCTGAACAATATTCCATTGTATGGCTAGGCTACATTTTGTTTGTTTCCAGTTTGGGGCTATTTTGAATAATGCTGTTGTGAGTATTCATGTAAGTTTCTGTGTGGACATATATTTTCATCTATTTTGGGCATATACCTAAGAGTGGAATTGCTGGGTCATGTGGTAGCTGTATGTTAAACCTCTTGAGAAACTGTCAAACTGTTTTCTACAAGTGGCTGCAATTTCATTCCAACCAGCAATGTCTGGGCATTCTAATATTCCCACATCCTTTCAAACACTTTTTATAGTCAGTCTTTTTTATTTTAATCATTTAATCAAATGGATGCTAAGTGATATCTCATTTTGTGGCTTTTAATTTGCATTTTCCTAATGACTAACTATGTTGAGAATCCCTTCATTCATGTATTGGTCATTTACATATGCTTGGGAAGATGTCTATTCAAATCTTTTGTCCATTTGTGTATGACGTTATTTGTCATTTCTTGTTGAGCTATTCAATTAAATTTTAACCACAGTCAAAAGCAGAAGTTCTCTTATTGAGTAACGGTAACTGAGCCATAAAGAGCTTATGTCTATTGCTCAAAGTTTGAAGGATAGACAGTGACAAAATTCACTTGATCCAACATTAGGGGAAAGTAGAGAGTGAAGCAAGACATTTCAGGACAACGGAGAGTGCAGTGAGACATTTCAGGACAATACAGTACACAATGAGGAAGATGTAAGCAAGAAGGAAATTAAGTGCCCAAGAAGGACACCTGGAAATGGTACAGCTGAACATAAACTTTAATGGCATGTTATGGTTAAGAGTGCAAATTCTGGGAGATTGACTTCCCGAATGGAAGAGTGAGGATGTTGATAAATGTGCTCTCCTCCTAAAATGACAAACATACAAGCAAAACAGCTAAAACCAACCATTTCAAAATCCTGGCAATGACCCAAAGCCACAGAACAAACTAAAAATAGTTAATCCAAGGGAAACTATGGAGCCTCAATAACTGGGAAGGAAGGAATCTGTGATATTATAACTTGGAGCCATTTCCACTCCTTCTCTCCCCAGTTTAGTGCTACAGCAACCAAAAGTTGGTAGCACTGCGGACAAGAAAGAGATCTGACTATTTTGTGAGCTCCGTTAAAAGCATCACCATCCCCAGAGCACAGTCAATATTTTTTCCAATCCTTTAGCTCTCTTTAGGAATTCTTTATTCTCCAGATTTGGTGGCAATTTGATTCGACTGAGAGCTCTGAAAGTGAGGACCAATGAGCCTACCCTTAGGGAGGGCATTACTGAAACAACAGCAAACTATTGTCACATCTCTGGCTGCACAAAAAGCTGTAGTTTCAGGTGGAGTCACCAAGAACTTGTTGGGTCTCATAGGCATAGAATGCAGACTTGTGGTTGCCAGGAGGGAGGTGGGTGGGAAGGGACAGGATGGGAGTTTGAAATTTGTAGATACTAACACATATGTACAGAATAGATAAACAAGTTTATACTGTATAGCACAGAGGGAAGTATATACAAGATCTTGTGGTAGCTCATGGTGAAAAAGAATGTGAAAATGAATATGCATACATTCATGTATGACTGAAAAATTGTGCTCTACACTAGAAATTGACACAACATTGTAAACTGACTATAACTCAATAAAATTTAAAAAAATTTTTTTAAAAGAACTTGTCTGGGAATTTAGAAGGAAATACTGAAGAACCAAAGGATCACAGGGAATTTTGAAAATCTCTGAAATAGTTCCGGAAATCTAAGGATGCACAAACATGTGCCCATGCTCAGGGAAACCCTGCGGGGAAAATAAGGAGAAGTTTCTCATCTCTGGATGACCTTGAGAATTTGTAGAATCAGGAATCAAAAGTGCAGATGGTTACATAAACTTCCTGAAGTTTGATGATGTGCTTTCTCACACAGATAGCTTTGTAAAAGAGTGCAAAGCAGATAAGCAAGGCATAAGATCAACAAAGAAATAGAATACTTAACACAATAACTGAGGAGATCGAACAGATCTAACAGATTTTTGTTGCTGTAACAACAAAAACAGACACCTATGGAATATTCCACTCAAAAACAGAAAAATGCACATTCTTCCCAAGTGCATGAGAAACATTCTTTAGGATAGGACAGAGCATTAAAAGAGGCCTCAATAAAATTAAAAGGACTGAAATCATACAAACTAGTTTTTCTAACCACAAATGAATAAAATTACAGCTTCACAACTGAAGAAGATTTGTGAATTTTATAAATGTGTAGAAATTGAAGATTCTCCTAAGCAACCAGTCGGAATGGTCAACTGATTTTCAACAAGGATGCTAAGACAATTCAATGAGGTAAAAAAATTTTCAACACATGATGTTGGAAAAACTAGGTGTCCACATGCAAAAGAACGAAATTAGGCCCCCTGCCTCACACCATGCACAAAAATCAACTCAACAGCTATCATAGCCATAATTGTAATACCTACAAGTATAAAGCTTCTAAAAGAAAAAAACTGGAGTATTTGTGCCCTTGGGTTAGGCAATGGTTTCTGATATATGGCATCCTAAGCATTAGCAAAAAAAAAACAAAAACCAAACAGACGGAGAGGGAGAAGGAGGAGAAGGAGAAGGAGAAAGGGAAGGGGAAGAAGAAGAGGAAGAGGAAGGGGATGAGGAAAGGGAAGAAGAAGGGGAAGACGAAGGGGAAGAAGGGGAAGGAGAACGGGAAGGGGAGAAGAAGGGGAAGAGGAAGGGGAAGAGGAAAGGGAAGAAGAAGGGGAAGACGAAGGGGAAGACGAAGGGGAAGAAGGGGAAGGAGAAGGGGAAGGGGGAGAAGAGAAGGAGAAGGAGGAGGAGGAGGAAAGAAGGAGAAGAAGAAGACAGATAAATTTTGAATTTTGATAAATATGTGAATTTTATACTATGTGAAATATATTTCAATAAAAATGTAAAAATATTAACCTAATATTAAAAGCTGAAAACAAAAGAGTACAAGCTAAGGAACTTGAGTCCCGGAATTTGAGTTGAATCCCAGCTTGGCTACTTTCTAGCTGTGCACTGTGGATATTTACTTAAACTATTTGTGCTTCACTTTACTCATCTGCAAAACGGGGCAAATCACAGTATCGACTTCATGGTATTGATGTGAAGTTTAACTGAATCAACACGTGTAAAAATGGTAACAAGAGTGCCTGGCACAAAGTACCATGTGAATCTTAACTAGAATACAATCTATTACTTTGATCACTTAAATTGGCTCTATTATAAGTGAAAAATTGGAACATCCTATAGAATTAGGATAAAGAAGAAGGTTAGATTTTTCTACATGATGTCCTAAATATTTCTTTTGATTTCATCTTTGCTATTTGAAGGACACAGATTGAAGATGTTCTTCTTAATTATTGTCATCTTCCACCAGAAAGATGCCCCGGGGATTGTAACTTAGCATCTCTCTATATATTATGCTCTGGCATAATCAAATGCTGTTCATTCTGTAATACCATGGTCATGCTGAAGAAAGTAAAGACAGTGAAAATTTGCTTTTACCGGGTGGGTGTTCCATATAGATGAGGTCTGGATGCTGCAGAAATGGCCACAATCACAGCCGGGACTCCGTAGCCCACAGGGAACATAAACCACTTCATGAACCTGTTCACACCGGAGTAGTTGACCACCGTCAGGTTGCGCGCAGTGAGGAAGAGGTGCAGGCCCTCCAGCAGCATCCAGGTGAAGGCGGCCAGGTAGAGGTAGTGTAAGGCGCCGGCTACGATGGCGCACAGCACCTGGGGAAGGAGGGAGGTGTCACCAGGAGGGGCTGTCAGGGTGAAGCACAGACCCGGGACCTCTCCTATACTCTGCCACTGGGGAAAACGCTGGTGTATATGAAGGAGTTGTCAATGGAGTTCTGTTAGTTAAATGAGAAATTGGCTACTTACCCATCTACCCTTACCTGGAACTCAAGGCATTTTATTAAGGTGTCCAAGGCAGCATGGCTTCATGAACTCAGCATCCTCTAGGGAAGGGCAAAGCAAGGGGTCTTTTGAGACAGTATAAGTACCTTGATCTGAGTTTGGTCAATGGCTGTGAGGAAGAGAAGGTGGGCCAAGAAGAGGCACAGCGAGAGCTGCAGGTGGAGCGAGGTGCTGGTGTTCCGGATGGCTTTGCACAGCAGGAAGGTGAGGGCCGCCAGGAGGAGGCACAGCAGAGAGAGGCTCAGTCCCACGTAGGTGATCACAGCCAGTGCAGGATCCTCCTCCTGGGACCCAGCAAAGAGGAGACCACAGTCACACTTTCCTGCTCTGGGGTAATGACCCTTCCACCATTTTTATTTTTACTTTTTGGTGTAGAAAAATCAGAAATGGAAGAGCAAGATAAATCTGTGATGTTTATGGATAACTTTCTCCAGGTTGTGAATGTTAGAATTTTATGGGATCTGAATGATTAATTCTGATCTTGGAAGAACTGGAGACTGAAGAGAATCCTTAGTCAAGATCAAGCCCTAGAACTCAGCAGAGTTTATTTTCCTTTAAACTTTTGGGTATGACTAAACTTATGTGTTACCATGAGAGGTTCACATAGGCATCAATCTCCATTTGAACACCATCCTCCACCCCCATCATGTGATGCTGCAGACAGAGCCTGTACCTGGAGACTCAATGTCAAGCTATCAACGCCCTATCACGGACTCCACCCACCTCATCCCTGCAATACCTGTTCCTGGTTAGTCTCTAATCCTTACAGATTTAGAACTGGACTGGGTTAAAGAGGAAAACCTCTACACTTCAACAGTGGTGGTAGCTTTAAATTCACATTCCCCTGCCTCTTTTTGCAAACAGTCCGAAATTTATGGAGAGAATGAAAAAAAAGTAAACAACGATGAATTCCATTTCCATGTAACTAGCGGAGAGAGAGAGAGAAGGAGAGAAAAAGAAATGCAAACATTAAGGAAAATAGAGGTAAGTACTCAAAGTAAGTGCATCTGGATAAAGAGCAATTGAATAGTATGTACGCTGTTTTCAATTTGCAACATACCCATAAGTTTGAATTTTTTCTGAATGAAATGTTAAAAAATAAATAGCAAGCCATGCAGATAATTCTGGTGCATACTAAATCTTGAGAATCTTTGCTGTAACAACAAAAACCTAATTTCTCTACTGTCTAAATAGTCCTCCCAAATCTGTTAAAAAGTGCGTCACCAAGCCAATAGAAAATGGACCAAGAATGTGAACAAATTGTTTCCAGACATAGAAATACTAATGGCTCTTAAATAAAAATCTTCGTTTCCCCTCATAATAAGAAAAACACAAAACATTTCCTGGATATATTGACCTACCAGATGAGTAAAGATCCAGAAATTGGATAATACCTTGCAGTGAGGGTGTGAGGGATCACACACTTTCATATAATGCTGGAGCGTTCAGAGATGCAGCCTCTCTAAGTTGGGAAATAGAAATATCTACCAACACATAATTCTGATTTTGACCCAGTATACATCCTAACTGAATGCTGAAATACAAGAATAATGAATTATATGTAAGTCCTTGCAACGTTCTTCATATTAGCAAATGATCAGAAACAAAACGCCCACTATGGGGAGACTTGATGTGTAATTTATGGCTTATTCACGTGAGAGAAGGCAAAGTGGCCATAAAAATGATGGAAGAATATCTTTGTGGATAAAAATAGAATGATGTCTCACGCATAATAAATAAATAACCCAAAATGTACAGCTGTGAAAAATGGCACTGCATGAGGGAAAAAAGCAGGGAAGGGGATCAAGGACAAATGCATGCATTTGTTTACAGATATAAAATACCCATAGAAAAATGTAGAGGAAACTGACATTGGTTGCCTGAAGCAAAAATGAAATAGCATCTGGGGTTAGGGGTAAAATGGAGAACTATCAATGTTTCCTATATTATTCTGTTTGAATTGAAAAACACAAATATTTAAACTTTTCAATCAATATAAAACAGTGTAGAAATAAAACTATGAACGCCGTGTTATCTAGTGACTCAGCAGGAGGAAACATGGCCTTGGGGGAATTGTTCAAACTGCTGGGGGCTCCTATGATCCAGCCATTTGGCTAGGATCCTTCTCATGCTTACTTTCATGTGGGCGCTCAGAGTAAGTATCTGTTAGCAAAGGCACCTGGATGAATCTCTGGTTTTGATGATCCAGAGAAAATAACCAGCTCACGCGACCAGGGGCAGAAGCAAAGATGGCTCCCGACCCACCTGGACTCACTGGCTCCCCCAGCCCGCTCTGACCTCTGGCATCACTGAATCTTCCATTCTGCAGAACCCCAAGCACCCATGTCCTGAAGGCCCCTATGGTAAGCAGAATTCTAATTTGGCAACCCTGTCCCTACCCCAGCTTCTTCCAGACTTTCAAACAAATGCCAGTCTAAGTGCTGCTGTGAAGAGCTTTTGCTCATGGCTTTCAAGACCCCCATCACTTGACTTTAAGAGAGGGAGTTTATCTTAGGTGGCCTGACCGAATCAGGTGAGCCCTTAAAAGATCTGAGCTATTCTTGTAGAAAAAGATCCAAAGTTTGAGAGAGTTTTGACGAAAGGGAGCTTCTCCTGCTGGTCTCCAACAGGAAGGGTGATACATTTTGAGAGGGCCCAGGAGAGAGCCACGTGAGAAGGAATGCAGGCAGCCCCTAGGAGCTGAGCCTGGTCCCCTGTTGTCTGACCACAAGAGAAAGGGATCTCAAACCTACCACTGCAAGGAACTGAATTCTGCCAAAAAGCAGGGAGCTTAGAGGAGGACCCCAAGCCTCAGATGAAAGACTTGTAAAACCCTGAACAAACAACCTATCTACAGCATGCCTGTTTCTTGACTTGAAGAAACTGTGAGATAATAAATTTGGGGGCTATTTTTTAGCTGCTACACGTGCAGGAATACGTTACATGGCAGTAGACGTTGAACGCCGCCCCTTTGACGGCTCTCACCTGCACTTCGTAGTGGGCCATGAGGACGGCAAAGGCGCTGAGGTGGGTGCATTGGCAGGTGGTGCTGTTGTCTCTGGTGTCCACCATCCTGCAGCCTTTGGTGGCCCAATGACCATTTCCATTCTGGCCACGCTGCCAGAAGACACAGAACACTTCCTGCCTTGGCCCAGGGATCACTGACTATAGGAACAGGAAGTAGGTGTGAGCTAGTGGTTCTGATGCCCAGAAATGCTGACCCAAAGCTGGCTCATGGAGGGTCCCCTTGGGATATGATGCAGCCATGGGAGAGCCCCCCTGAAGCCCAAGGCTGTGTGTACTACTCAGTCCTCTCCCACACCCACAGCTCCATCCCACCAGGACTCACATGTTGGAAGACAAAGGTGACTGGGGAGCTGAGGTCCTGGGTGTTCTTGTTGCTGATAAAGGCGGAGATGACATCTGACAACAGGATGGGGTGGATTTCCTGCAGCAAATCCTTGTGTGCCTCATGCAGAGCTGCCTGTTTCTCTGTATCCAGGACGAGGGGGGCCTCAGCCAGCAACTTGCCCATCCCTGGAGTGGAGATAAGTCCCACCACTGCAGGACCTGCAGGACGAGGGTAAGGTTGACATATTGCAATACCCAACAGGACTCCCTCTTCTTCAGATGGACTCTTTCCTTTTGACCCACCATATCCCACACTTCGCCTTAAACTTCAGTTCTTTATTTGTCACATCTTTGGGAATCTTGTCCCACTGTGAAGTCTCGGTGACCTTCTCCCTATCTCAGCCATTACCTGAGTCACCAGATTCGTGCACTGTATCCCAGGTCAGCATCATCTTTGTCTGATTCTGAATCAAGGTGATACTCCTGTCTCCTTGCTCCTGCACCTCCAGGGACAGTGCTGTGAGTTGTGGGAGTTAGATTAGTAACTGTGACTGTAGCTGCTGCACTCATGATACCACTATAGTGCCATTTTATAGAACATCTGTTTAATTACATTGTGACCATTATTGAAATATCTCCCTCTATAATATCATTCAGATAATTTTAAATGATGATATAATGACAGTTAAAGCTGGTTCAATCACAGTTTTACAAGCTTATTTAGCAAGAGTGAAAATAGAATATTATTACAAGTAGCTAAAATGATAAGCTGTGTCATAGTGCTTAAGGCTTCTGTCACTGTTGGTAATAAGCATATAGTATGTTATAGTACAAATGATGCCATTATTTTATATAAATTATAATATTACACATAATATTTGGTACTACATAATAATGGTACATGTATATGTATGAAACCAAGCAGGACCCTGCGGCCACCCCTCCACCACAAAGTACAAAGCCTCTCCACTTCCTCTGCCTCTTGTTTGTAAAAAAACTGAAGCTTCCCAAGCCTCCCTGAGCCACAGAAGAGCCCAAGCAGTCAACGGGCAAAACAGTCTCAGAATCTTTCAGTATCTGATGCACATTCCTGAGTTGTTTTGTTGCAGCAAAGTGTGTTACAGCTGAGTGTTATAGCTCAGCTGTGACAGCAACCGGGATCTGGGCGAGAAACCAAGCAGCAATCGGAGAGTTGGAGAACTCAGGTTTATTACGCCAGTGGGCCCAAAGGAGTTAACACTCTAAGCTCTGGACCCCGTCTGTAGGTTTACACAGCCTTTTATAGGCTACCAGTCTAGACTTTGCAACATTTTGCAATATCATATGCAAATAAGGTATAACAAAGGTGACTAGTTAGGAACAAGCTTTGTAGAAATGAACCAATCAGGAGTGAGGGAAATGGACCAATCACGAGTTAGCTCAAGGAACCAACAGAATCCTAGGAGTAAGTTGCACTTTCCTCGAAGTAAGCCATTTTAGAGTTTAAAAAGTGAGACAATGCCGTTGGGCCAGGGAACCAAATGGTGCTGGCAGGACGATGGTGGCCCTGCCTGGGGGTCCTGCCGTCTTTTTCATGGGGCTTCCCAACTCAGTTTTACAGACACTATCACTGCCACCAGAGGGGAAGAGATAACTGCACGATGGCCAGACTGCAGCCATGACGTAAGCTGCTCCATCTATGGCTAGTACAATTCCAAGAACTGGCCTCAAGAGATTGGGATTAACATAATTTCTCATAATAATCTCTATCTTTGTGAGCATCAAAATAATTGTAGCTTGCTCTGCCCGTCTGTGTAAGGGGGTAACTAAAATTTTCAGCAAACAGATTCTACAGACCCATGTCGACATCTTCCACTCAAAGATATATGGTGCCCTATGTCAGCATGAAGAAGTTACAGAAGATGACCTTCGCTTCTAACCTTATAGAATGGAATGATGTCTAACAGTAGGGATTTGTAAGCAGCCATTTTTCCCCTTTCCTGTTTGCCTATTTCTGTTCCACTTAAACCTTAATTATAAAAATGAGATCACTAGATAACATTTAACCTAACTCCTGAATCATACTCTACTGAATGCACACAATATCTTGCCTAGCTTGTTGATTCTTTCCCTGGATTAAAAGAAGTAGGAATAAAGAATTAAGTAGCTTAGGAATGACTACCTCTCTGCACCCAGGATCCCCCTTAGCAATCCTGCAGG